CTCATGATTTAGGCATAGTGTGGTGCTGCAGGTTAATGCACTGGACTGCAAGGTCAGTTTGAACCACAAGGTTGGCGGTTCAAGCTCACCAGCTGCTCCTTGGAAACAACTATGAGTCAGAACTGACTCAATAGCACTTAATAACAACATATGCTAAGTATACAAGGGAGCTTCAAAAAGTTCATGGAAAGATGGAATTAAAAGATAATGGAATTTTGTCATGAACATTTTGAGGCGACCTCATATGTTTACACAATATCCAAATCATCACATATTGCCTTATTTCACAGAATGAACCATGAACATTGAGCATGCATACCTGTACTTTGTGTTGAAACCAGTGGGTTTCCTGGTTGTCTTGATGGCTGCTGGCTCCGCCTGCTCCCTTTCTAAACCTCTCAGTCATCTGAACTGTGGACTCATTGCTGACCATCCAGATGGTTTATTGCCACCGTCTTATTCCCATGTAACATTCACGTCAATCTATGTATGAAGACTGCTTTGATAAAGTGCTAGTATTAAAATACGTCAAGAGTGTGGGGAAGATAATGTTGCAGGATATGGGAACAAACAAAGTGATTTTTGTTGAGCTAATTATCTACTGAAATTCATGCTTAATTCCCTTTAACATTTCACAGCTATTCAGGATTATGAAACTGCTCAGGAACACAATGAAAACGACCAGCAGGTTCGGGAAGGCCTAGAGAAAGCACAAAGACTCCTGAAACAGTCCCAGAAAAGAGATTATTACAAAATCTTGGGGGTAAAAAGGTGAGTTGTTGACTTGTATTCAAAGTTTGCTTTGCGATTTTTAATCAACTATTTTACAACCAAATCACTGTACTTTTTTCCCTTCTTTATTAATTTCCTTTATATTTGTAATTTTTCTGTCAGACAGATTAAACCCTAACAGTCTTTAATATCATGAAGCTATTTTGAATATGTTGTGGCTAAATGTGTTTGATATAGACCAGTCACACATTAAGGAATTAGTTTTTGGTGGCAGAGATGACACCACAGAATGAATAGGTCCTAAGCCTAGATTTTTAAGGAGTAAGCTTTTCTCTCTCATGAGGAGGTAAGAGAGGATAGAGAAAAGAAAGAAAAAAAATCTTATCCAGGCTTAAAAATAAAATAACATGAGAGTGTGACTTTTAGGAACAGGGAAATGTATACTAGGGTAAGTGAAAAAGCATTGCTAGAAAATCAGGAAAAAATGATCAATCAAAAATATTAAAATAAGCTATTGCTTCTGGACAGCTCCTCAATCTAGGTCTAGACACTTCTGAAGGCTGAGTTTCCATCCTTGTAACCCGTCCCTGAAGAATTCAGCATGCTTCTATATATACATGTCAAAATTCCAATTTTGGGAATAAAACACTGTTGGAAGAAGTAAGATCAGCTGTAACGTGGATGGGATAAGGTTTCCTAAGGCATTTCTTGCTACCTTTGAAGAATAAGCAGGTGCACTGCTGTGATGACAGAAGTTCATTGGCACGACTCTCCTGGTCTTTTTCTCACCAGTGCAGTTTTCTATCTTATTAAAACTTTTTCCTAATGCTCCCATCCCAGGTTCATCTTGTGCCCTTCAGAAAAATGTTTTAAGCCCGTCAGAATCCCAAAAGACAGTCACTATAAGGTGACCTTTCTGCCTAGAATTTCAGTGACAAAAAATCCCTTAGGAAGCCACTGTTTTGATTGGACCCCTTGCTGCTTTCTTGGGATCAGATTGCTAAATCCAAGACTTGTCCCAGGTTACCATTTTTTCCATAAATTGGCTTCACTAGTTTCCTTCTTGCTTAAAAGACTAACGGAAAGATCTGCTCTTTGAGCTACATGAGCTTTGCACAACACTTTCGGTACCCATCAAACTAATAACTTGCTGAAGTCAGGATTTTCAGTAAAAATTGTGAATAGTGAACCATTTGAGATCCCAATGTTAATTCTACAGTCTGGACTTCCGCCACGGTTTTTTAGTTTATTAAGGTTGATGTCTTCCTGGCCTTCCTTAAAACGCTTCATCCCTCCAAACTTGCTTCACGTTGGGCAGCAGTCCCATAAACTTGCTATCAAGTTTCAGTGATTTGTGAAGATGTCCACAAAAAAGATTTTTGTTAAAAATTTTATATTAGCCATTATCTCAGAATTATTAATTTCTCCCCATTGCACAGACAGTATCCTTTTTTTGAAGGCACCTTATAAGACCAAGACATGTATTACTTGAGGAACTATCCACTGATTACAAAAGGCTGGAATAAACCCATTCTTGTCTGAACTGAAACCCTAGTAGAAATACTTTTTTGACTTAATCATTTTGGTTGGGGGAAATTATATAAGACTATCAGTCTTTTAAACAAAAATTTGAAATTTGTTCAAAAGTAAGCTAATCCAAAAGTAAGGAATCAATGAATATTTTTAAAACAGAAAATGATTTTTAA